GACACTCAAATTAATACTGCCTTAATTAATTAAATTGCATCAACTTTATCGTGATAGCTTGGTTACATTAGTTATAATAAATATAAGTATTCACTCCGGATGTGTGTTTGACTCATTTCTTTGATTGAATTTGGAGGTTCCGTGTAATTAAAGAGTATGGCATCTCTGCCAGTCCACCGCAGACAGTCTTTGCTCGGCCCTCCACTAATTCCCGCTGTCCCACATACTCATTATCATGTCGTTCCAACATACCTCTTTAGTTGCATGAAGTGAGTAACACTCTGGCTACCCATCTCCGTGGTTACCCCCCCCCCCTTCCTCCCCCATCCAATCACTTGTCAGGGATCCTTCAGGTTGGTGCTACCCACTATTATCACATGACCCGTGCGGCCCCGCGCACGCAATCCCATAGAAAATCATAGTGAAAGCTGGTGACGTGTGTAGGGCCGGAGGGGTTGACGGGAGCTGGTATGGAAAAAGCCTTCCGGCACTGAACTCTTAAAGCAAAAAAGTCGTCTTTTTCGACAAATTGTGAGTTTCTTGTTTTGACTCGAAAAAACAAAGGAAAAGTTGCGTAGCGTTAGGTGTAAGCAAAATTTTCAACATTTCGATGTCATTTTCATTGGGAATACTGTCCTATCTGAGAGTTTGCAAGTTGATATCTAAGAGATAAAATTAGCAAAATTGACAATCATGTGCGCTATTGACCAAGAATGAAGTCAAGATGGTTGGATATTAGCCTTCTTCCTTTCTTTGCTTTTTTATGGACTGAGGCAAAGCCGAGATCTATAAAAACCGCTGCCAGCTATATAATAACCACAAAACACGAATTGAAATGGGCAGGAATGCAATTTTATGGGGACAACTTTAAATCATTGAATTTGATAAAGCATCGACGAGTGAAAAAAGATGAGAAAAGAAATATTACTTGACGAATTGGCTCGAGCTCGTCCCAGCAACAAATGGAAATCAACGTTAAATGGAGACATATATCATATTAATGGCGATAGCCGTCATGGTAACGCGCTGTCGTTGAAAGAGAAATCTTCCCTGCAATCATTATTTTCGCTCACTGTCAAGCCAGCGATTTTGTCGGTGTATTGTTAATCTATGCGTATATTAAAGCAACAGCTATGATCACCTAAAATTGAGTATGTAAAGTGAAAAAGGTTAAAGGTTTGTACTTGAAGGGCTCATGTCCCTGAGCTTATTCTTGTTTCCTTGAAATAAAGGCAATAGGAGTATCACTTCTACCCCTTGGATGATGCTATTCCATCGTAAGGTTACCTCCCAGCATTTCAGTAGGCTTTCCAGACAATATGCTGGTACCCATTTATATAATCCTGGATGAAAAGAGGCACTGTGAAAGTAGAGTGCTTTGCCCAAGAACACAAAAAATTGCCCCGGTCAGGTCTCGAACTACTGTGGAAACTCGCCCCTTCAGTTAAATATGGGTAGTTTCGTTTTGTATCGTTACTAATAACATGCACTCTAGTGTAGCTATTTATCGATTTGTCGGGTATTTGCATAACCGACTCTGATTATAACGTAAACGAAATATATTTCCTTCAATTGATACTGGTTAAGAATCCCCACATGACCTGCAGATAACTGCCACAAACAATGGTGTGCTTTGACACATAACAATGTTTAGCTGCAAATGAGACTCTTTCAAGCTTAGATATTTGTATCCAGGCTCTTCTCTGAACAAAGGAAATGGCCGATAGCTTTCTTAAGTTGACTGGGGTGATTTGACACGTTTAATTGATTTTAATT